ATTATATCTTCTCAAAATAGCTTGTCAGCACTTATAATTTTTAATTAAAGGTCAAAATGAGACCCAGCAATACATTAAAAATAAAAAAGCAGCAGTTTTCATATTTTAACTTACTGCATAAGAAGCAGGTGCTGTAATTCAGTTGTAAATAAAGTCCTCTTCAAGCATTCACAGTCAGTGAAGAGGGCAGCAGGATCACGCATGCAAGCCTGGCCTCCAACATCCTTCTCCCACAGATACCTTCATCTGTAAGTGCTTAGAAGCCTCCTTCAGAGTATGGTGAGGCTGAATCAGTGCCGTTTGGTGCTGCTACTCCAGAGCAGGTGCAAATGGACTGGTGATGCAGTAACACATATCTCAAAAATCAGTGTGGCTTATAACAGCACAGAACACAGTCAAGGTGAAAGCAAGGTAAGCCAAGGTGAAAGCACCTTCCATACAAGTACGCTGCAATGCAAAGTGAACTGCAGGGGCTGGTTGCACAAGCTCATCCAGACTTAGCCTTCTCTTTGGAAACTTCACCAACGCTTTCCAGATAAACTGAGATGACTGTTCAGCTACTACATTGTGACATTTTTAAGATTTGCCCAAAGTTGTTCAGCTTTAAAAAAAGGAGTTTTTTTACACCAGATTTTCTTTCCTGATCCAAGTCCAAGACTTTATCCATTACTATACCACACTTGATATTTTGTCTGCAAAAGGCTGCCAACAGTATTTAAAAATGCACATTTGCTATGTCTGAGAGTTAACCCAACTGCATTCAATAAGGCTTACTTTCATGAGGATTGCAGCCTAAAACACTGTAATCCTGTGATTTCAGTAATCCTGGCTGCAATCCAATGCACGCTTACTTAGAAGGCACCTTGAACTTAATGGGACTTGCATAGGAATATGGTGTTAGCTGATATGTAGGTCACTGAAAAATTCATATATTTAGCATTATAGCTATATTTAGCATAGCATTATGTATCCCATTAAGTCGCTGTACAAAATTTAAGTCTCTCTCTAATGCCACTTGGGTTTACTCAGGAAAGCATCGCAGATTATCCAAACTGCTTTACTGTGTGATGAGTTTTCTCTCTAGCCTACAAAAGCTCATGTTAAAAAGCTGTATGATAACGTGTCAGACCACATGTGCCTGAAGGCAGAGCGCTTCCCCTGAAAAATCCTGGGAAGTGTAGCTCGGTAAACTACACGTGCATTGGCACCTAGGGGCACCAGGGCTTCACGTGTTTGGTGCCCACCAGGACGGAACAGTGGGTTGAATGCAAACTTGGGGTGGAATGACTTCATTCACCCCATTGGTTTCAGCGAGAACAAGCGCGCGTCTTAAGATAGCGCCAAGGAAGAGAGGAAGATGGCGCTGGGGGCGACAGCGAAGCCGGGTGCGGAACAAGCCGGCGCCAGGGTCCCCGCGCGGGCGGGCGGGCGGGGTTGCGCAGAGGGCGCCGGCGGGCCGAGGCAGCTGCGGCCCAGGCCCTCCTTGGCCGGGCATTGTGACGCGCGCGGGCGCCGACTGTGCTGCTGCGCAGCCGGGGCGGCGTGCGCCAGGGAGCGAGGCCACATCGGCCATGAGGCGGCACCAGCAGCGGCGTCGGCCGCGGCGCGGGTCGGGCCAGTACCTCGGGGCGGAGCCCGGGTGGCGCGTCTCCCCGAGCGACCGAGGCGCGCCCAGCGCCAGCAAGGGCCGCAAGAAGGCGCCCGCCACGTCGTGCTGCAGCTTGTCGGGCGCCGAGACCCCGCGCAGGATGGCGCGGCGACGCAGCAGCCCCGGCCGCTTCTCCCCGCCGCGGCCCTTCCCGGACGCCTACAGCTCGGAGCCCGAGGTGGCCGGCGGCGAGGGCGGCCTGCGGCGACACCTCCTGGCGCAAGCGTACCGCGACGAGGGAGGCCTGCTGCTGCCCCCGGCGCCGCGCAAGGGCAAGGGCTGCTCGACGGCGCCGCGCGGCAAGCGGCCCGCCGCGTCTGCCTCTTGCGCGTCCCCTCTGCGCCTGTCCGCTTGGCAGCAGCAACACCTGGCGCCGGCGGGCGAAGGCTGCGCCACGCCGTGCACCACCTCGTGCACCACGCTCTACGGCGGGGACTTCCCGGGGCACCCCGATCTCCCCGCGCGCTCCCCGGTGGGCAGGTGCACCCGCGTGGAGGAGCTGCTCCGCGACGACCAATGGGCCAGCCCGGTACCTCGGCCCTTGGAGTACGGCACGGATCTCCCCACCGACGCCAGCAAGCCTCCCTCCATCTGCCCCTCTTCCTTCTCTTTCGCCCAGTTCGACAGCAAGGCCTCCCCTCGCCTGGAGAAGAAGGAGCTCCCCCGGAGAGACTGGCAGGAGCCCTGTGACAGCAGCCACAGCCTGGCAGACCTCATGCACTGTTTGGCAAGGCCGTATGAGGACGAGGAGCCTCAGGCCTACCTGCCCCGCGACCCCAGCGCCCACCTGCACCAGCATCTCCTCGGCCGCAAGCCCCGTCGCAAGCCCCGCAAGGGAGACCCGCAGGTCAGCCTGCAGGACCTGACGGACAAAAGGTACGAGGACCTGATCCCCGAAAGGGACAAGAAGATCGCGGCCCTCATGCTCGCCAGGCACCAGGAGGAGGAAGAGATGAAGGACCGCCAGCTACAGGTTTCCGACGCCTGGGATAAGATGAGGAGGAAGGAAAAGCAGCACAAAGCCCGGGCGGAGAAGGAGAGGCAGTACCAGTTGGTCGACAGCCTGGACCAGTGGCAGAGGGACCGCGATCAACGGAAAGCCAAGCTCAGGCTAGAGGAGCAGCAGCTGTTGGCAGCCCGGGAGAGGGATGTGATGCTTCGTGACAAAAAGTGGAAGAAGCTGGCCAAAGAGCAGGATTGCAGGCGGAGGGAGAAGCTGGAGAGTGCTCGGCTTCAGGCCGAGTATCGGAAACGGTGCCAGGAAAAGCAGCTCTGGGACAAAAGGTTAAGCGATAGGCGTACCAAAGAGCAGAACTCCGCTTTGTACAAGGAAAGGATGCTGCAGGCCCTGGAGAAGAGGCTGATAAAGGATATGGAAAGGAAGAGGAGGAAAATAGATATGAATGACTACAAGCAGACCAAGCACATGAGTGCTAAGGACCAGGTGGAAGATCGGGTCAAAGCCGACGAGCTGTACAAGAGGCTGTGTATCGAACAAAAGCTTCAGAGGTCCCAGGAAATCCTGGAGCAGCTGCTTGAAGAAAGGAACAGGGAACTGAAGGAGAAGACTTTAAAGGAAGAAGAGCAGGGCTTGATAGCCAAGGTAAGAGCCAAAGAGACGGAGGAAGAGAAGAGGAGGCGCAAGGAGATGTTGCTGCAGATAGCTGAGATGAAGATCCAGCAGGCCAGAGAAATCATGTCCAAAAATATCCGAGACAGATCGCAGCGCGTGAGAGAGCTGAACTGTATGAAAGAACGGAACCACCATTTTCGCAAACAGAAGCTTGATTATGACGAAAAATGTCACCTACGGGAAATGCAAGAAGCTTTAAGAAGGAAAGCTCAGAAAAGCAATCAGATTCTAAGGCACAAGGACGCAGCTATCGACGAGTCTAGGAGAATAGCCAAAGCATCTTATGACCTTAGAGAAAAAGTGAGAGACCTGATAAATCGCAATTCATTCGACCAGATGGCTTTAGATGCGCAACGTAATGCAAGCCTCCTTAGAGGCCTGTAATGAAGTTTAAGGAAACATTCCAGACTGTGTTGTGTCAAAAAAAGATGGTTGTAATGCGTTCGCTCTGCATTGCTGTACACTAAAGTGATTTGAGCCTTAATTACTGTTTGACTCATAAGTGTTTGGTTTACAAACATTTACTGTTTATACTAAAAATCTATCACTTGCATTTGTGATTTGATCGTGAAGAGAAAGAATTGAACTTTGGCCCTGTGCTACTCTTTATGGAAAGTGGCCTTGGTTTAATGCTAGGCACTTTGAACTGAGTATTCTTGTAACAAATTGTGATTTTGTAAAATTCTATTTTACAATGAATGTCTGAAGTGTTCACAAATTATGGAGTTTACACAGTTTGTGAATGGTTCATGACACATACTTCATTTCAAAGTATGTAGCAGTTCATCGTACATCAAGAATAGAATCATATTTAAAGATACTCCAATCATTTATTATCTTAAAAAATACTATTTTTATAGCTAAATAACCTAAGCAGTTGCCTGCAATCTGCATAGTCAACCATTTACACTAGTCCCATTTATTTCGGCTGAGCACATGTGCTTATTTCTGTGCATGCACAATCGCCGTAGTTTGGCAAACATAATGAATATATTTTAGCATATGGCTATGATGGCTCTGTCAAGTTTGTAATGTGGTGAATTAGAAACTTTTTTTATGAAGGAAACTGCAGGAACACAAACCATGTATAATTTATAAAGTATTCTTAAAATAAAGTTTGATCAGTATATTTCCATATTTTGAAAAGTAGGAATTGTATTACTTTATGTTCAGTAACAGTGACTAAGTTGGGAATGTGGAGATGATTCCACTGTCATATCCAACTCTGAGCTTGAATTTGCAAGGCAGAAGTGAGAGAGAGGGGAATACCCTACATTTCTATATACATTTTTCTGCTTAAAAAAAACCTCTCTCCCATTGAAAGCAGTGGGAAGGAATGGGGAGGGAGAGATTTAGTCATGCACAAGAGTATAACTAAATAGCTACCTGGAAACCAGGAGGATTTGGAATCTTAGATCCAAGCTGCTTTCCAAATCATTCCCCTTTGATCTCCTCCAACCTGGAGCTCTGATGTTGGTTGGGGCAGGATTGCGGAGGAGGGAGGTTCTGATACCAGATTTCTCTATCTTAACATCAGAGTTATATATGTGACCTATCCTGTTTCCTCTAGGATGACCTTCCAGGAAACTATCATTACATCATTCATATTCTGGGTTGATCTGTGATCTGAAACAGATAATAAACAATTATAAGTATGGTGAATTAATTACCCATCTTAATGTAATTAAAAAATTAATAAGCATGTGTGTTATTTGATAGGTTGGTTGGAGAGAATAAAATGACAGAACTTGAGGAACAATAACTTCACTTCTATTGCCACGAGCGCACAAAACATTCAAGATTCACACATCTGATACTTGACTGAAACTGTGTCAGAGCACTTGGAGCCTAAGGTTTGGACTTGTAACCAGACAGTACCACAAACAGGACCACATGGCTTCCTTTCCTCCTCTATATAAGTTCTAAAACTGGCCTAGATGCAGACCAAATGGACCCCACTACCATCACATGACACAATCAGTCCCAATCTTGGCCCAATCACTTTTGTCTCCTCCACCCTGGCTGACGTGAATGGCAGGACTGGGGCTATGACCCTGGCCCTGCCGGGAGCTGACCAAAGTTTGGATTTAACAGTATATACCTAAGACACTCTGGAAAGTATTAAGAACTGGTGTGTCACTGAAATAAATGTTCTCCCCTTGGGTGCTGCAATCTCACTGCCATCACATTTTAATCTTAGAAAAGTTGATATGCTTATATTTGGATATAGGAAAGGCTACTTTTTGCATAACACATAGCTCACAATATTTCTTTTGAGGGGAGTAGATGCTTCTTTCCGGAAAATTAAGATTCCTCACCAGAATGTAGCACTTCTAAAATGGACCAGAGGAGGGCACTAAAGAGTTGCACAATGATTTTTCATCTGGAAAGAGCTGTTAAAATAGATTTTGGAGCTGGAATCATTTTATTGGCCTTATCATGTATACATGACAAGTGCAAACCTCTCATTCAGAAGCAGGTCCCAACTTATTTAATGGGGCATACTCTAAAGCAGTGCTTTTTTCCTAGGGGGGACACAGTGGTACGTATACCCCTCAACAGTTTGTGAATCTAACTTTGGCCTCATTGAGGGGCAGTATTTCAATATGAGTAGGAAAATGAGAGTACACCTAAACATTTGGGGGGGAGCACTGCTATAAAGTATCCTTATGGGCCCGGTCCAATCAAGGTAAATTTGAAAATCCCATTGATCCTAATTGAAGAGTTAAGCAAATGTTTGACTGTTATCTGTTGGAATCAATGGGATGCATAAGTCTCTTGTATATTTGTTAAATTTGTATCTTGCCTTTCCACCAGATGGTGCTCATTTAACTGCTCAGATGATGCCCTATCTGCTGTAAATGCTGGATCCATTGCACATGTTCTCTATCAGCTACTATATAGCCTTCCCCTGCATATCAATGGAGTCTGTCTGTCATTAAAGGCCAGTTAACAGTTACTAGACCTCCAATAACCTATTAGAGGCAGAGAGAGAGGATATTCTGTTTGTGTCACAGAGTACTTTTAGAGGTCACTTGCTCATTTCTGCTTTTAAATGGTTCCTGCTATCAACTGTCATTACATCAGATTTGACCTGAAATAAAGTTACAAGGGGTGAAATGTGCAGGCATCTCAGCTCTTCAAGAACTTCCCCAGCAATTTCAAGAATCTATATGAAATCTCTTGAGTGAAATTGGGGGCACGGGGACTGTTGTTATCTGTCTGCTGATGATAGTGCTTTTTCCATCATCTGTTTATCTTAAGGGCAATGGTATTGGCTGTGAACTTGCATCTCTACACTATAATGAATGGGTGGTGGTGATGGGTGGGCTGTTTGATGTAAGGAAGATGGGATTGGCTGTTCTAGATTGGGATGAGGGAAAGCCACACTCCCTCAGAGCTGGTGTTTGCCACAGTCCTCGCTTGAGTTGACTACTGTAATGTGCACTATGTGAGACGCCCCTTGAACACTGTCCAGAAGCTTCAGCTGATCCTGCACCAGGTTGCTTGCCTTGCCAATACAGTGGCACCTCGGGTTACATGCGCTTCAGATTACATACGCTTCAGATTACAGACTCCGCTAAGGCAGAAATAGTACCTCGGGTTAAGAACTTTGCTTCAGGATGAGAACAGAAATCGGGCTCCGGCGACGCGGCGGCAGCAGGAGTCCCCATTAGCTAAAGTGGTGCTTCAGGTTAAGAACAGTTTCAGGTTAAGAACGGACCTCCGGAATGAATTAAGTACTTAACTCGAGGTACCACTGTATTATATACTCAGAGAGTATATAATAGTGGTCTCCCAGTGCCAAAGTAGATATTATCTTAAATATGGGTATGTGGTTTTTTAAATATATATATATATTTAAAAACTATGATTTACAATGGAAGACGAGAGGCAGAGGGTCGCTGAATTTTTGTGCCAAACAGGGCACTGCTGAAATTTGAGACCCCAAGATCCACCACTGACCCACAGTCACAGCAGACTGACTTAGCACAAACCTGTGTTAGTGACCTAATAGAACACCATGAAATGGTCTCCCTGCATGCTGCCTGCAGTCAGAATTCTTTTTGCAAAAATGTGGAAATCAGCTTGTACTCTGCCTATTAAAGAATGGATAGAAAAAACTGAGGAATCACTGCTATGGTTAAATTGAAGAACTGTCTCAGATTTAAAGAAAGAAACCAAAGGTACGTCGCAATAATAGTTTATGAGTGTTGGATTTATGCAGGACTTGTTGGATTCTAGTGATTCTACTTATTCCACTGGGCTCCTTTGGGAAGATGAACAGGGAATTATTATTATTATTCAGATAACTCCTATCAGGTCCAGTGAGCATGGCCAATAGTAAGGGATGATGGGACTTGTAGTCCACAAGGTCTAGAGGGCAATGTGTTGTCCACCCCTGGCTTAAGAAAGGTTTGTGTGTATTGGCTGTTTCGTTCCCCTCACTCCTCTCAACCTGTTCATTCCTAAATACACAAATTGTAAAAAATTAAAAACCAAAACAACAAAAATCTGTAAGAGTCTCATGATCTCTCTTTCAAAGAACGCAGAACCTACCATTGCTTAGGAAATGTGGAGAAAAAAATGTGTCATATTTATGTGAAGATATGGCATCAAAATGTTTTCAGGGGGAAGCCTTATTCGATTTGGAGCTATAGCAGGACTAGAAACGAGTGTTACTTGTATATTTGGTTAACACCAATGTACTAGTTTACAAATGATCCCTTTGATCACTTTTTATTTTCTGTTGCTTGCTCATGGTATTCCTACAGAAAAGTTTATTAAGAGAGTAATGAAACCAATATCCCTTATTTATCCCATGGATTCTCTTCCAATAAATTATATTGTGGAATTTTGAAGACATTGCTTCCCAACATTTCTCTGTCCTGTTCCCCACTCTGAAGCCGCCTTGTGTAAATCTAGAATATGATGTTTCCAACTTGGATTTCTTTATTACCATGCAGACGATATTCAACTATTCTTCCCCTCACCAAAAAAGAAGTCTGGGGAACCAGTGTCCCTCCCCCCCAGGCTTTCTTCTTAACTTAAAAAACAAAACAAAAAACCCACCTCCCACAAGCTGAAGTCTGTTTTGCGTTGTTAGGCCAAGCCATCGTCTGATGGTGATGTAATGGAGAAGATCCACGATGACTGGCTGCAGCCAAACTGGTCATGTTTTGTCCACACATGGCAGAGCAGTCGGTTTACAACACTCTCACACTGAAGCTAAATCTGTCCTTACAAAAGAGGTCTAAAGAAAAAGCATTCACAGCCTAACAAAGCACCAGCCGAGCGTGAAAGAAAAGGAAATCTTGCATTCAGTAGAGAGACAGTTGCCAGCTCTTTCAGTTAAAGGCTGGCGACTATGCCATGTGGTAACAGGAGGCGACAAGTTTTTCTGCTCCTTGTGATATGCAAGCTGGATCTTCAGGTGGGAGACAGACGAAGATAGCTGAGTGAAACACTTCCGTGATATGTCGTTTTTAGGGATTTGGCTGCTGAAGCCCTCAGAAAATACAGTGGTACCTCGGGTTAAGTACTTAATTTGTTCCGGAGGTCCATTCTTAACCTGAAATTGTTCTTAACCTGAAGCACCACTTTAGCTAATGGGGCCTCCTGCTGCTGCGGTTGTGCCGCTGCCACCCGATTTCTGTTCTCATCCTGAAGCAAAGTTCTTAACCTGAAGAACTATTTCTGGGTTAGCGGAATCTGTAACCTGAAGCGTATGTAACCTGAAGCATATGTAACCTGAGGTACCACTGTACTGCTTTTTCAAAAAGCAGAGCACTGTGGGTTGGATACAAAGAACAAGCGCAGAAGGAAATTAGCTGGTGGTGCCATTCCACAAATAGCGTGCACAAGAACTGGCACAGCATTGGCCATTGGCTTTAAGAACATGGCTATAATAGCCAGTTCTACTCACTTGCTTTACTTATTCCAGTCTTTCTTCAAAAAGCTCAGAATAACATACATCCACTTTTCCCCCCTCAGAATTAGCTGATTGAGGCAGCTGCCCCACTCTGCGAGCTTTTGCCGATTACTGAATAGGAGCGGAAAGCAGAAAGCAATGGCAGAAATGAATATCTCAAATGTTTCCAAAGCTTGTTTTAGCATGTATTTGGATCATGGAAACATTTGCACAAACCATAAACTCCTGTCAGTGCTATTTTTCTAGAAAAAAAAGGTGCCAGAACTCACCATGAATGCCTCCCTTGTTCTCTTATAATGGCAATGGTGCCCACCTGAGAAGGGCCAGTACTGAGTTCTGCTGAGTTCCGGCTGAAAAAAAGCCCTGATTCCAATAAGAGAAAGCAAAGGCTGTGTACACATTGCCATTTACCCCAGGTCTGGTGTACACCCACCACTAGTGTTTGAAGGGGTGTAGACGACCCATCGGTATCCTGTCACTTTTTGAGAAATATTCCTGTTTGGTGCTGTTTGCCTCAAACCAGCTTCCATCATTAGGAAATGGAAGCTGCAGTCAAGGCGGAGACAGCTGTTGCACATGCACAGAAGATGGTTTCATTGAATTGCGCATTAAGCAAAGGCATCCTCATCGCCACCACCCCGGTGCATACAGCAATATAAGTAAGCAACTTGAAACACGGGGGATGGGGATATGGAGGAACATCGTCAGCTGTATTTTAAACCACTAATGTATACCTAGCCAAAGGTTTTGTGCCTGCAAGTGACAACTGAGAGCATTATTAAATTCACAAGGTCTAATCTGCACAATCTGCTCCCTTGTTCGCACTTGCTTTGGCCCAGTTGGCCATGTGCTTTCAATCTAAGTTTGGGTTTTATTTTAAGAAAGGCATGGCCCCTTTCAGAAGAAGGAGAATAAGATCATGTGAAGAAACATGCACATCAGTGTGACGTAATGGTTTGAGTGTTGGACTAGGATCTGGGAGACCAGGGTTCAAATCCCCACTTGGCCATGAAGCTCACTGGATGACCTTAGGCTAGTCACTCACTGCCTCTCAGCCTAACCTACTTCACAGGGTTGTTGTGGGGATCAAATGAAGAGCGGTGTGCCATGCATGCCACCTTGAGTCCCTTGGAGAATAGGGTGGGATATCAATGCAACAAATAAATAGATATCTCCCTTTAAAAAAAATACAAATATCCTTGGAAAACAAAATGAAGCAAATCAAATATAAGAAAGGTTTCAGA